CACCCGGAGCAGTGGGCAGCCATTATTACAAACAAACCAAAGAAAGATGAAAACAGTAGGCCAAATATAATACACAAACCTTCCTAAATGTATCCCTAAATCCCATTAGGAATAAACTATGTGACTAAATTTGAGTGGCTGGGTCATTCCCAACAATTATAGCTTAGTCTGTTTTGACAAAACAGTTTCATTACAGTAGATCTGTGTCTGTCTGAAAACTACATCTATGATCTGTCCATGAAAGAAGCCTAAGCTACAGACTTTGATCAAGCTTCGTAATCAAATGTATTGTCGGTTCATCAGTTCTTCTGCTTCCTATACATATGATCTGCTGTGTAAACCTGTAGAGCTGATCCAAGATCAGTCCTCTTACTCTTGTTTGCTTTACACAGCTCAACTGACAGCAATGCTACAGTAGCTCTAACATTACAACTAACCACTCAGATCACTGTTTTAAAAGTAAACCTGCTATTGTTAATGTTATTAACAACAAACCATGTACAATCCAACGCATTAGAGTGGTTATGCTGTTACATGGGCCTCGGTCCTACATAATAACCTGGTAAACAAGTTAGCTACCATGTCGCTCCTGCTCGGTGTGAATAAATATGACACTCACCTGCTCTGCAGCAGCAACTAATAAAGCAAAGATATTTTTAATCAGTGTGCAAAAAGCAATGCAGCAACCGTGGCATGTCAACTTCCTGCCTCGTCCGAACACGTAGCAGCGCAACCTACAGTGACGCCACTTCCTGTGTCAAGGCCTTCTGGGAAATGTAGTTTTGGGGAAGAGAGCAGCGTTGCCATTGCTCGTTCACTCCTCAAATATATGCGATATATTTGCTTATCTATATCATATTAATACATTGGTACGATATTTTAAACTCACACTTTTGAAAGAAGACCAAAAGAAATCACAATGTCAAATTTGGCTCCAATGAAAAAGTCAATTTAGTGTGAAATAGCAACCGGTTTCTTCAGGCTGTAATCATGTTCAAAACAAAGAAAAAACATCTTCAGAATATTGTTTTGAACTGGTAAAACATCAAAAATGATGAATCATTCAGTGAGGGATTAACAGCTGTTCTGTTTTCACGCCACCTCACTGGAGAATGTTTGCAATGAGGAAAATCCCATATATTTTTGTTTGTGTTCTGTTTATTTCCTTTCCAAATAATTATAATGTACAAATGACATAAATATGCGCTGACATGTAATTGTGTAGCTATTGAAATATTTCCTTGACAGGCATATTCATGTCTTGATCGTTTGATGCACTTTGATATGCTTTTAAGTATACAATTATTTTAATAATTTTTTTTCATTTAATTTTTCCTTTATTTTATAAAACATATTGAAGGTTAACAAGACACTGCAGGCTTCAATAACTGATTAACACTATTGTGATGACCAAAAATATTTTAACAAACCTTTGACTTTAATATTAGGGTTATATTTCATTTTATTATAGCTCTGTATGTCTATTATATGTATGTCAGATTATATGTCTGTACTTTTTCTTTGCACTGGAAGCTCCTGTCACCAAGACAAAGTTCTTGTGTGTGTAAACACTTGGCAATAAAGCCCTTTCTAATTCTGATTCTGACAAGATGTTTGCTTCATGTTTAGGAACAACAGATGGAGCTAAAGTACCTTATTCCTTCCTTCTTTCCTTCCTTTGACACGTTGATGTATGTTTTTTCATGAATTGTAATAACTTTTTAACAGGATTGTAAAAGCAACAATTTATGAAAGTCATGATTTAAAAAAAAGCAATTCAAAGAAATAATTTTAACAACATTTTTTATTTTTACATTTTTAATACTATATGCTACCGTGAGTTCATTTTTAATACTATATGCTACTGTGAGTTAAAAGAAAACAGTTTACCATCAGTTAACCTGTATTTTGATCACTAACAGGAGATTTTTTTTAGTGAGCATTATGTTCACTTTGCAAAAAAAAAAAAATCACTTTTATATTACTCTGTGTGAGATAAATGTTCAAAAATATGTCAGCAAAATGTATTTATATAAATATGTTTTTCGTAAAAATGTGAAGGTTTAAACTGAACACTTGAAAGATGGAAATACTAAGAATTAATTGTTCATTTATTGTGATGACAAGCTATCCACCAAAACTGTGCCAGTGTTCCACAATGACACGAATAAACCTTGTTTCTGAAGTGATGTGCAAAGTGTTTTACAGTCCACCACATGAATAGCCTGGGAGTCATGAGGGCTAACAGACTGAAGAGATCAAAGAAAGATGAGGTGGTAGGTGCTTATTAAATAAATATGAGGCAAACCTCAAACTCTGCTTTTAAACGCCTCTGAAAGAAGAACTGCTGCAAATAGCACAGAAGCACCTGAGATGTGCTCTTCTCTCAGGTGAGCTCTGCTCCAGTGACCCGCAAGAAATGTGGAGGTAAAAATAAAAACTATTCTCCGCTCGTCTTTTTTTGTTTTTGCTTAAAATAGAGGCAGGGGAAAAATCAGTTTTACATGCATGAGGGGACATTTATTTATAATATTATGCATAGGATGCATCAAAATGATTATGATTACATTAATAAACTCAGTCAAAATGAGAGTGTAGTCTGTTTTGATCAGCTTAATGTGCTTTCAAAGAAGTGATGAACGGGAAATCAAGTGAAGGATTTCCAAAAAGAGCAATGAAAATGAAAGAGGTTCAAAACGCTTCTCCTGATGCTGTTTGCGTTGCTAATGAAGACCAGACTATTGGATTAATTGAGCTGTTTTAACATGTTTCAATTCAGTTTACTGAAACTATGACACTCTTTCTTGGCCAAACAACTTGTTTTAAAAACCGTACTGAAGTCTGATGTTTCAAATAAAATAATGAAAGTAAATAAGATATATATATATATATATATATTTTTTTTTTTCAAAGGATTTGTTAAATGTTGCTCATTTTAATTTAATTCTCAAAAGGGAGGCTTTGGAATTGCCTTTAATGTGACGGGACAGAGCAGTGAATTACTTCATTGTCACAGAGACGCATGTGAAGATCATCAACAAGGCATTTATTTTAGATTGTGCTAAATTGACAGCGCATTTCAGCTCCAAAAATACAGTCTAGATGAAAAAAGCCCTTTTATTCATTCCTGGCTCTTTTAATTTTTGTAATCAAGTGTAGAATGTGACCACAGCTTAAGAGTTAGCAAATCACAAAACAACATGCGATTAAGAATGGATGTTCTAAGAAACAAAACTAGACATATGAAGTTTGATGACACATGTAGATGTTGTCTTGGCAAAGCTTTGGTCAAGAGTTTAAAATAACTTTAAGCTTGAAGTTTAAAGGTTTCACTCAGAGAAGTCAGAGAAACTCAATAAAAATTGTGCTAACATAGATTAAAAACTCTACAGAACAAGTTACTATTTGGTCTCAGAGTAATAATAATAATTTTAAGCAGTAGATCGGTGTATATTTACACATGTGTAAATGGAGCAGACATAAATCTTCCTGTTGCTGAAATCTGAAGTTGAGAGGGTTCACCGCTTCTGTACCTCTAGTGATGTTAATGTCGACGCATGTTAAGAGTCTGTTTGATCACACAAATCCATTCCGAACAGTTGCCTTTCATAGAATTAGGTGACTGAAGTACAGAGAGGTGAAGATTGACCTGTTTTGCTCTGTTTAATTCCCATGCTGACAGCAGTGTTGTGTCGGTATGACTCACGTTATGATTCACATTGCATAAAACGGCTCTCTTTTGATGGATCTGCTACAGCTTTGTATCTGAAACGAGTCAGACACTGAGGTGGTAGAAATCCGGGTATGACATACTTGAGAAAATCAACAAGAGATGTTTTTAAATTCAAAGAGGTTCACAAGAACTGGAACTATCCCTTTAAAAATCGGTCCTCTTTTGTAAGCCAGACCATCATCTTATATTTTCATAACACTCCTCTAACGAATCATCTGTCCACCCAGAACCAGAGGGTATTTTTGATGGATGATACACTATTTGACTGAAAGAGAATGATCAATATGTGAGCACTGCTCAACATGGCTAATATTATTAATCACAGTCTGTGTTGTACTGTCAGTCTGACTTGAAAATCACCCCGCAAACTCTTTCAAGTAGTTATTTGAGTTTGCAGTGGAATGTGAACAGTGGACTTCTCTCCTCCTGAAACACTGTTGAATGGGCTTTGACTATATTTACTAATAGCCCACACAACCTATGAGATGTCTTCAAGAAAGGAAAGTTGTTTCAGGGTGGAGCAAGTTTTACATTTTGATGAAAGATTATGAAAACTAACATTTTACTGTTGAATTGCATAAGACCAGTAAGACAACAAATGTATTTTAAATACACTACATTACTTACTTACTTAAATACGCCATTCAAGTTTAGGGTCAGAGATATTTTTTTAAAGAAATGAACACTTGCTTAAGCAAGAAAGCATTATACCTGTCTAAAGCAGAGGTGTGTGAACTTTTAATATGAAGGGCCAAAAATCAAACTTGACTGAGTAATGCAAAGTAAATGTTGCATTACAGTATATCCAACTGCATTATTCTAAAAGGTATTCTGTTTAAAAAAAAAAAGCAAATAATTAACCAAAAATGTAAATTACGTTTTTAATTTTTTTAATCAAATTCACATATATTGTGTTTTACATTTTAATGCAAAAATGTAAATATACACTAGATAGATAGATAAATAGATAGATAGATAGACAGGTCTGTCTGTCTATCTGTCTGTCTGTCTATCTATCTATCTATCTATCCCCCTCCTATTCTGATCTCTAAAGGTACACTAAAGACATATATATTATGTTATATTTGTATTTCAAGTAATTGCTGTTCTTTTGAAATTTCTGTTCATGAAAGAAACCTGAAAAAAATGCATCATGTTTCCACAAGAAATATGAAGCAGCACTGTTTTCAACACTGAAAATAATCAGAAACGTTTCTTGCGCATACA